CATTTTAATAAATTTTAAGACTAATATAGCCTAAGAAACCATTGACCAAATCTGTGACTACCAAAACTATCAACTTTTGTTGGGTGAATTGATAGTTGCAGTTGCTTTAGAAATAATGCTAGGGAGAAAAAAAATTAAACTCACTGGAGTGCAGATGAGAATTTCACAACCGGCTTCGCAAGCCTTTTGTTGCTCCCATAGGCTACCACCACCGTAGGCACAAACCACTGTCAGGTTATAGACACGCGCCAACTTTTTTGCTTCTGAATAGATTTGTTGAGACAATTCACGAGTTGGTGCACAGACAAGGCCGATAGGACCATCTCCAAATCCGAGCTCAGGCTAATAAGCGAAAAATGAAAATATGAAAACTCCTAGAATGCCTTTGGCAGGTTATCAAATATAAATGGGGAAATTGCAGCATCCGGATCATTTTGCCAATCTTACAATAACAATTCTAAGGCATTTTTCGCACTGTCATGTATAACCTTGAAGTATGTGCCCTTAATTCTTGGTGCACATGACTTAGTTTCGAGTTCCATAAGGGATACTGTGCAAACTGGCTGAAATTACACATAGCCTTAAGTTCATGGGTGAATAATCTTGGGTTAAAAAACAAATATAAATTTGTGCTTTTTATTCAACTAACCACTACAAAAGCAATGAAAAAAACTCTTTAAAAGTGTAAATAGTTTTGGGCAATTTGATTGTAAAATAGTACACTATCTTGAACTATAAAGCTACTAATATACATAAAGGAAAAATCAATTAATACTTCATGAATATTTGCGCGAATGAAAGCACGTAGACTTCTAAGATAATCAAAAGCGAGGCAAGAAGAATAGGATCTTAATTAAGATATACCTTAACTGAATATGGATTGATATAAAAAATTAAACAGAGATTAAGATAACCTAAATACTTTGATAAATAAGAACCAAAAAAGAGACAATAACACAGATGATCAGCTCACTATGCTGAAGGAATAAAATAAAAAATAAAAATATCCTACGCATAAAAAAC